ACATTCGCTCTAATTTAAGATCGCTAAGTATTATAGGCAATCTTAGAAAAGTAATTTATGAGATCTATCCGACTGCGGATGCATAAATTTGACCGAATTCGGTTAACGGAACATTATTCGCCGGTAAAGCGTCAGACTGGTCAAAGACATATATAGAAAATTATCAGTCTGTATATTCGTCTGTATATTCCTCATGTTTTGTAAAGACATATATAGAAAATTATCAGTCTATATTCGTCTGTATATTCCTCATGTTTTGTAAATCGTCATCATCATCATTAAAATCCATTGCAGAACATAAGTCGCCCCATAGATTGCCTAATAGGGATGTTATTTACCACAATTGCCACGATTGGCAAATGTGTAGGTAACCGCAGTGTTTACTATTTCGAGTTGTTATTTATTTCTCTCTGGCACCTTTCATGACACCTATGGGATGATATGGGGCAGTGGGTAATCTTACGCCGCTACTACACGAAAAAAAAAATAAGAATATTATAGAGTCTTAATGACCAGAACCGTAGACCCTGTTTAACTGGAGACAAGGCATTTCATTTTATGCATCGGGGGTGACAACGCAGTTTGATTCTTAATACAAATTTATTTTATGGGCCACGGAATCTACTTAACAAACAAAATTCAACACATAGGTGTTTGTTGTAAAAATTTACATTGATGTTTTGATCTTAGCTATGCTGCTTTTTGGCGCTGGGATTATGTGGGAGTGTGTCCTTTCGGGATTCGGGTCGGGTTGATCTCTTGTTGGGGCAGACTCTACCACGCTTCACTGTTTTTGTGTATGCGTGTGAGATTTTTCAGCAATAGTATTAATAACTAGCTGTTCCCCGCGACTTCGCCCGCTTAGAATTTACTACGATTTTATGGGTTTTAATTTTGTTGCGCGGAACCCTAATTCTTTTTCTAAAATAAAAGTATCCTAAGTTACTTCGTATAGCATCAGCTATCTGCCAGTGAAAGTCCCGCCAAAATCGGTCCAGCCGTTTCGGAGATTAGCCGGAACAAACAGACAGACAGACATACAAAAATTTAAAAAATTGTTTTTTTTGTTATTGTTACCGTATATACTTTCATATGCATTTAGTAAAAAGCGGTTATTTTAAAATTACAAACAGACACTTCAATTTTATTTATTTGTATAGATAATAAGTCCTGATTACCCCTGACGACTGAGACTGAGTTATCAGTTAAAGTTTTCCTCTACTTTTCTTTCTAGATTCCTTTTCTTTTTAGGACTGCCTGGGTAAGTTGCACCCTCTTATCTCTTCTACATTTACTACGTTCTACTTTTATATGTCAAGGGTTTTAAGAGGCAGTATAATTACAGGACTTGAGACATTCCATTTTAGTCCTAAGAGGTGTCAAAGCATCTCAGAATTTTTGCAGCTGTCCATAAACCGCATTAGCCACTTACCTTCAGGGAGACTGTATGTTCGTTTGTCTCTTTATTTTCTACCGACTACAAAAAGTAGACGGTAGTCAATTCGAATGTATGTTTTTTATGTTTGTTACCTCATAACTTTTTACTGGGTGAACCGATTGCGATGATTTTTTTTTAATTTGAAAGCTGGTGCTTTACATGTGGTCCCATAATTTGATCAAGGTCTGACCAATAGTTTTTGAATTATTCTTAATAATTTATATTGAAGTCGGTTTTACAAAATTTTTAATTTTTAATTATTATAAAGAAAGACTTACACTGTTTTCATTTGTATAATATGATAAATTATAAGAAATCTTTGTGAAAATAATAAAACTCATTTGACTAGCGCCGCGGGTGACTCTAGTATAGTATAATATATGTTTATGCTCTAATTTAAATTGTAAAACATCATTTTATGATCACATTTTTCCTTATATAGTCATGTTGAAAACAGACATTATCACTTTATCACCACATCCATAGAGCCGTGGCAGCTCAGGCTAAGCATTCGCTGTACATTTCACAGTACACCAGCAATCCAGGTTAGATCCCGCCGGCACCAATCAATTTGTTAATTGCGATTTTAAGTGGTGATTAACCACGTGAAAGAAATCATCATGAGAAAACCTGTATGACTGAGAAAATAAAATAGTTCGAAGACATGTAAAGACTGCTAAAAACCATGGGGCAGCGCGGCGGACACTTCCTTACCCTTAATCCCTCTCACAAATTAAAGGAGGCCTTTGCCGTACTACGTAAAAAGTAACTACTTTTTTCTGTTTGTTACTCGAGTTTTGCTACAGATACCATCGTTACGGATTCTACCTCGCAGAAGAATTCGGAGCATAGCCCTCTCTATAATTCGGTTATTGCTCTTTCGCATTAACCCCATTATTGCAATGATTATTGATTAATATTTCATGGCGACTCGTGTATAAGTATCAAGTGTACACGTTAAAATACGTGCACAAATAGGAGCAGCTGAGACAAGAGGTCATCGAATGAAGGTATAATAATCATGACCTAAGATTATATTTCGCGATAAAACCGCTCGGTAATTTTTTGCGGCCATTCATAATTTCAAGTAACTGTACGCTCCATTTCAAGCTTACAATGTTTTGTAATGAGCGTTCAGTATAGAAAGAAAAAGACTATAATAATACACCTCATGTCGTTTTCGTCAGCGTACCTCTCTATCTAGTATCTATAGATAGGTTCTTGGTTCGCATTCGAAACGGTTTTTATGACCAAAAGTCAAAGCCACAGCCGCCGTATGTAATAAAAAAAAATATTATTTTATTTTACGGAAATTTAAATAAGTGTCGGGAATTGACGATCTGTAGTTTTTTAAACATATTAACTGTCACAGTCATTGCTACATTGGACTTCAATAAAACTTCAAACTCGATAAGATGATGAAGTAATATCCAAAAATAGGTTTTATTGTTTTACGAATTTAATTTATAGTGTTTATTTTCGTGTTATTTAAAAACGATACATAATTGTTATTAAATATTAAATATATTAAAATTAAATATGCATGCCCAAGTTCTTTTTTCGTTCTTCTCCTTTATTTAATATTTTTTTAGACTGCACGGTTTCATTCCAGCCAGTATGTTTGTATATGCAAAAGTTCAAAATAGTATGGAAAATCTAAAAGTGCACGCCTCGTGAGTGTTTCCTTTTTTTTTGATGAAAAAAATACCAAAATAAATCGATTACACAAAGTATAAAATCGATATAGGCTGTATGGAAAATTTGTCCTTTGTCTATCAAGGGCTAAAAAATAATATGAAAGTGTCTTTAAATTTGTAATAGCAATAAAATTGAAAATCATTTTATTAAAAAACTACGTGTACTAGGCATAGATTCTATGGTACTAGGCTATTGATATGAAATAGGGAACCAGTTGATGTAATTCTGAAGCTAATAAAAAAACCCGGTCTCGATACGTCAAGTGTTTCGGGAGTTATAGTGACTACATACAAAATTAACATCCGGACGTCCACGTAAAATTTTTTCAAACCGTTTTTTATTTCAAAGTAGCAAGTAGCAATATAAAATGATGTTTTAGATAATATAAGATGGATTAATAAGTGTTTTCTTGACGTACGGCTACACTCATATTATCGTATAAGTGCAATATCATTACGATAGTGGCATTTTAAGAACACAAAATTACTTGACCTTGACGTGTTGAGAGTAAAGCACTACGCTTCGCATTATGAGGCGTGCAAAAATGACTTTGCAGTCGTAAGCGGTAACAGTAATAATAACAAATGTTTATAGTTTTTATGACTCACTCTTAACAATAGTTAGGTAATTAGTTACGTTTGTTATTTTCCCAAAATAAAAGTATTATTATGATCCTACATAACTTACTATGAATGTATAATAAAATCTTGGGTGAATACAGATTAAAAAGCTAAATTTGAAGATATAACAAAATATAGTTGATTTTCTTTGAGAAATAGTAGGTACCTACCTCTTTAATATTTTAATATACATAATACAAAGTTAAAGTGGAAAAGACCAGCCGCAACATATCTCGTCTTTTTCCCACTTTAACTTCAAGGTTCTCATTAGGACGAAATGATCATACTTCAAAAGTAATAAACTTATCAGTACATATATTATTTTACAGTTTTTCTCATTGCAGCACCTATTGCAGGCTTGATAATTATTTAATTAATTTATTTGTTTTACGACACTAACAACTTTAGAATGACTTTATTTCCTTCGATCTTTTTTTAGATACGGAACCACAGATATAGAGACGAAGTACTTTTTTATCTACTTATACTTTTAAATATGTTGTGGCTTATATTCAATTACCATTTGGGCGGTACCGGTACATGTTTATGAAAGTAATTAACCGCTGCGTGCCAATTAGGTGATATCAGAATTTATATCAAAATAAATACTACAATTATAAATCTATTAAACGTTCGAGAAACAAATGTGAAATAATCGCATGTTTTGTTGATGCATTTTAAATATATTAATATGGGCATATTATTTGAATCTTGGACCCCTGTTTAAGCAATTTTGCAACATTGGTGTCCTATGAGACTACTATGTAGGGAACTGAAAAACCGCTTGGCCTCCGACATCGATTTACTCAAAGTCAGATGTAAAATACACAGACTGGCGACGGGCAGCAGCATCCAAGGTGCGAGACTTCTAGTAGCAGTATGTTAGTTATTCAATTTTACTTTTTTAGAGTCGTACAGCCACCCTGCAGATATATTATGGTTGTAGCACAAATGTGTCGGCTCGACCAGGGTAGGACCACGCTCCCACATAATACCAGCGTAAAATCGCAGCTTAACGCCGCTTTGTTTAGTATGACGAGTGTAGAGACCCGGCAACCCTTTTAGTGGAAACGAGGTATTCTATCTTAGTCCTCAGGGGTGAGAGCGCGTCTTTAATTTGATTTTAATTGAGGATAAATGTGGATGTTTATGGGCCACAGCATCCACATACAGTTAGGTGGACTGTGTGCTCGTTTGTCAACCATATTCTATAAAAAAAAACTTATTTTCAATTTCTTACTTACCAGCAATAAGTCGCTAACTTTTTCTAGCGCCCAATAAATTACGTACAACTCCACCAACTGATGAAGTACTTTCTTTAAAGAAGGGGACAATGACGCAGTTCTCTTGTCCATTTCTGATTTGTAAACAGACAAAAGGATAGCACGCCCGTGAGCCTGAAATTATTAAAGGATTTCAATGGTTTGCATGACAAAATACAAGGCATTCAGTCTTGGTCTTCGAAGTGACAAAGCCTCGGACTATAACCGCAATTGCTACTTCTAGGTTTGTGTCAATGTTCATTTATAGACAATCGATCGTTCAAGTATTGATTCGTCATACGAACCGGGTTATTCGGGTCGATCATTCAAGTGGATTGCAGACGGCTAACTAAGACGGCTCCGTGGCGCAGTGGCTTAGCAATGAGTTGCTGCGCTGGGGGGCGCGGGTTCCAATCCCGCACGGAACAAGTATTTGTATGGCCTACAAATGATTGTTCCGGGTCTGGATGTTTGTCCTTGTGAAATTTGTGTTTGTAAACTGCCTCCACGATACAGGAGAAAATCCTAGTGTGGGGGTAACGTTTTAAAAAAAAAAAAGTGGATCATTCGTGATCATCTGAGACCCGCTCGGTTCAGTCTCTGGTCGGTAGTCAGCGCAGGTCTTTTAAAATCGGATAGAACAGCCTAATTATTTTTAAAATAATAAATATAATAATAATTTAAATAAAAATATAAAAAATATAGTAATATTATAATAAATAACTAACCTCCGACGCAGCTGTCAGATACACTGAAGCTTTATTCCAAGCGTCTTCTTGTGAAAGACCAGACTTCTGGTAGTCCTTAAGGGTTTCCACTGCACCAGATACCTTACTACAACAATAGGTTTTATAGATATACCTAAACGGTTTAATTCACACGTGTATGGCGGGGAAAGAAATATCGTAAGGGATTCTGCATACCTTAGAAATAAAATATGTAAATATGCGATAGATCAGGATCGAGTATCCCACTATTACTCTCTCAAAAATAGGAGAAGGTATGTGCCCTGCAGTAGAACAATTTTTGCTGCTACATTATGCCTTTTTAAGGGTTCTTTCAGGTTATTTATTGTTCTAATGGAGAAATCCTAAATGTTAACTACTCGCCTACAATACAAAACATAAAAATTTTTCAGCTTAATTTTGACCTTCGGCTTATTTAATTCGATCGCCATGCATAGCGCCAATAGAAAAATAGAACCTTCTTCAAGTTACGGTTTGCCAGAAGTAATATCATAAAGCGAAATGAACACCGTTTGAATCTACTTTGTTTTAATTTTGTTTAAAGTTTATTTTTTTGTAGAATTGTTTAAAATTTTAAAGGCGGAAAAAATATTATTATTATTACTGCTTAAAATAATTTAAGCAACAATTTCTTTTGCAATTAAAGGTATCAACGACACATTATGTTACCTCACATCAAAAATGAAAAATATACGTGTGCACCTGAAATCATTTGCAACCAACAGCATGGTTTTAGGTATAGGTATAATCATTAAATAATAATTCGTAAGTAATATTTTTTGTTAGTCTGGTTTTGTGATATTTTTTTATCAAATGTTCGATGAAATGAGAATTAAATGCACGAACGATACAAAGGTTAACCTAGTGAACTATTTTGTCTTTGTAATAACATAATATAATTTCATCATCGTTAATATTCTGCGGAATTTTTGTTATAATATATTGAATTTTTTCAATCATAATATTGGTCCATCTTTATTGTCTACACACTTTACCAGTTTTTCATCATTTTCATGACTATTTAATAGTCTCACCTGCTGTAAACACTATCGTGGACAGTTATCAATAAATAATTCGGAAGATCTTGGAATTTTTACTTCAGAATAATCTTTACGTCCTTTCAAAAAGTTCTTCTTTCAAAACAAAAGGAAGTGTATCGGGACACGATCCAGTAAATATTATATGTGACTTAAAATCTCCAGGTCAAGCTCTTAAAGCTCTATAAAAGTGAAGAAGTGAGAAAGTGAAGGTTGTCATGAACAGTAGAAGAATGAATGAATATTCATCATCAAAACAATCGAAAACACGAATAATTACCGAATAGCAACAACTTGGAAACTCTTTACAATTGAATCCACAGAGCTATCCCACTTTTGCAGAGTTGTTGTTCCAGCCAAGTATGCCATGGTACCTTTTAACGGTTTTCCTTCTGCACGAACACTCCAAGCCTTCACTAGTGCCCTAAAAGAAAAAAATATATAACGCCTAACTAGAAGAATCAGAAAGTTTGTATTTTGTTTGTAGTAAATAAGTAATAGGTATTATAATAAGTATATGGTTTTGTTTGGTTCTTCGAGCTGAAAATATTATAAAACATTACCTGGCTGCTTGTAACAACAGAACCGTGTTTTCCCCTTCATATGTGCAAGCCGCAGTGGCCAATCCATACATCTGCGGTAGGTTAGAGGCCAGCATATAACCGTGGCCGCCGCAAGCTAGCCGACATCTTTCTATCAACATGGTTGTGTCTGACGTGCATATCGGCTTCAAACAGCACGCTATGGCGTGTAGCTGAAATTATTTGCCGTAGATAAGTTTAGGGATAATATCTTCCAAGTCCATTTTGACCAGGGTGAAAGCTTTTTTGAAGACCGTGTAGTGGCGGTACAAGTATATACACTACTACATATCATCCCGTGGGTGTCGTAAGAGATGACAGAGGGAAAGAAATCAGGAGATATGGGCAACAACATCTTTTAGTAACGAATAAAAATAAAGCGCTTGCCAAGCGTGGCAGCTATGACAAACAGGGGTGTCACTTCCACTATGGAAGGTATGGAGCACTCCATACCTCAAGTTTTTCAAGGTATGGAATTCCATAGCTGAAATTAGGAAATAAATCGCATATTACTACAAACCCCATATAAATAAATCGCAAGCCCTTAAACCTCAATACCCCACATCTTATAGTTCAATAAATAAGTTGAGTATATACACTGCAAACTCTTAAACCTTAATACCCCACGAGTAATGCGAACAAATTTGAAAATCGCGCCACCATTTTCCATACCTCAGATTTTTACAAAGTGACACGCCTGATGACAAATACCCTACGAGGCAATTTATGTGGAAGCCTATGTTCAGCAGTGGACTTAAATAGACTGTTACCGTGTCGTATGAGACGCCTATGGGAAATGCAAGAAAAATCTTATTGCTTCCGATAGATAGCGGTGTAATAATCCCGGTTACGCCAGACGTAATATACCTAGGCTGGTAACGGGTAGCAGCGCCAAAGGTGCGAGGCGTCTGGTACTGTGACCGTGAGGATTTAAGCAAATTCTATTATCAAGAGGGAGGCCTATGTCCATTAGTGGACTTTACGTGTAGATAAAAAAGAAAACAAGAATTAGTTAATTTATAATTGTATAAATTATTTAGGCCCGTATTAATAAACATTACTCAGCTCAAGTACACGCACGGTGGTAGAGCCCCGCAGCAATTTTTGCTGTTGCACGTATGGGGCGGCTCGAGCCGGGTTGGTACCACGACCTCACAGAATACCGGCGTGAAGTAGAGGCTTTGCTTCTGCGTTTCGTCTGGTGAGTGCAGGTGGCCGGAGGCCCAATTCCCCCCCCCCCCCCCCCCCCCGCCAACATGGTAGCGGAATTACACAGTAGACTACCCCAGGAGGCTACCAGTACCCCTGGAGAATCCCTCGCTGAGGATCCACGACCATGTTATTCCAATCCTGAGCGTGGGTGCTCAGGCTGCCCCGCGTATTCTGGGGGGGGGGGGGGCAAAATTCCGCTCAAAGACAAAACTGCTGGGGGCAAACTGAGCAACAATACCAAGGCGACCCCTGCCACGCTATCCGTGAATTTCTGCAACATCAGGGGACTTCACTCTAACCTAAACGCCGTCCACTACCATCTCGAGACGGCGAAGCCGGCCTTGCTCTTTCTGACCGAGACGCAGGTTTCCTCTCCGGCTGATATTTCGTATCTCTCCTACCCGGGGTACAAATTGGAGCACTCCTTTGTGCCTCGGGCTGGAGTTTGCGTGTATGTCAGAGAGGACATCTGTTCTCGACGCCTCGGCAGTCTTGAAGGTTCGGACCTGTCCATCCTTTGGCTACGCGTAGACAGCGACGACCATCCGCGCGTCTACGGGTGCCTCTATAGGTCCCATAGCGGTAATGCCGAAACAGACCGACTCATCGACCACGTCCAAATGGCTACAGATTCCTTGCTACAACAGGTCCCATCCGCAGAGATCGTGATCCTTGGCGATTTTAACGCCCACCATGCCGAGTGGCTTGGTTCACGTTTAACCGATCATGCGGGGAGATCTGTTTATGACTTTGCCTTGGCATATGGTCTGACACAACTGGTTACTTCGCCTACGCGGATTCCAGATGTGGAGGATCATACACCTTCCCTGTTGGGCCTTCTGCTGACCTCTCATCCGGACGGATATCAGATTTCTGTCAATGCCCCTCTCGGCTCTTCGGACCATTGTCTGATCCGGAGTATGGTGCCACTCACGCTCCCTTCGCGGTTGCGTTCTGCAGGTTGCCGCCGTGTTTGGCATTACAGGTCGGCGGATTGGGACGGAATGCGGTCTTTCTTTGCATCCTACCCATGGGGGCGGGTTTGCTTCTCGCCGGATGATCCCAGCGCTGTTGCTGACTCTGTCACTGATGTGGTGCTACAGGGAATGGAACTATTTATTCCATCATCTGTGGTACCTATCGGAGGCAGATCTCAGCCTTGGTTTGGTCGCTCCTGTAAGACTGCATTGCGCAGTAAGCAGGAGTGTTATCAAGCCTGGGCTGCGGCTTCGGTGACTCGGGATCTAAACACCAGCACATTAAAAAAGAACTATAACTTCGCCTCCAGGTCCTTCAAAAGAGTTATTGCCAAGGCAAAGTCAGAGCACATAGGCAGAATTGGCGAGAAACTAGTTCGCCTTCCTTCGGGAACCCGTGCATTCTGGTCTCTCGCCAAGGCTGTCCAAGGGAATTTCTGTAAGCCATCACTACCATCTCTGCACAGGGAGGACGACTCACTGGCCCAAGACGCAAAAGACAAAGTCGACCTTTTAGGCTCCCTTTTTGCGTCCAACTGGACACTTGATGACGGGGGGAAAATACCGCCGACCATCCCGCGGTGTGAGTGCTCCATGCCGGATGTGCTATTCTCACAGCGCTCAGTTCGCAAAGCACTTCTCTCCCTGGACATCCAGAAGTCGAGTGGGCCTGACGGAATCCCCCCAATTGTGCTGAGGATGTGTGCTCCAGAGTTGGCACCGGTCCTAACGCGTCTTTTCCGGTACTCCTACTCCCAAGGCGTAGTCCCGAATTCATGGAAGACAGCTTTTGTCCACCCGATCCCTAAAAAAGGCGACCGCTCAGACCCGTCCAACTATAGACCTATCGCCAAAATAATGGAATCCATTATTAACTGCCAGCTCATCCGGTACCTTGAGGATCACCAGCTGATTAGTGACCGCCAATACGGTTTTCGTCGGGGTCGATCAGCTGGTGATCTTCTGGTCTACCTGACCCATAGATGGGCGGAGGCAGTAGAGTCCAAGGGGGAGGCGTTGGCCGTTAATCTGGACATTGCGAAGGCCTTCGATCGGGTTTGGCATAAAGTGCTTCTTTCGAAGCTACCTTCCTATGGGCTTCCCGAGAAATTGTGCAATTGGATCACCAGCTTCCTTGCAGATCGGAGCATCAAGGTCGTTGTAGACGGTGCATGTTCTGACTACAAGCCTATTAACGCTGGTGTTCCACAAGGCTGTGTGCTATCACCAACGCTGTTTCTTCTGCATATCAATGATATGTTGCTAGCTGGTAACATTCATTGCTATGCGGATGACAGCACTGGTGATGCTCTATACACCGGCCGGGCCAATATTTCTCGGGAAAACGTCGCCGAGTACCGGAACAAACTTGTGTCTGAAGTCGAGTCTTTGCTGGACAAAGTCTCGGATTGGGGGCGACTAAATCTAGTCCAGTTTAATCCTCAGAAGACACAAGTTTGCGCGTTTACCGCTAAAAAGAACCCCTTTGTCGTATCTCCTCAGTTTCAAGGCACTCCCCTTCTTGCCTCAGCCAGTATCGGTATCCTCGGAGTCGACATATCGAGTGACGTGCAGTTTCGTGGTCACTTGGAAGAGAAGGCCAAATTCGCCTCTAAAAAGCTTGGCGTGCTCAGCAGAGTGGGACAGTATTTCATGCCGGCACACCGCCTGCAACTTTACAAGGCGCAGGTTCGGGCCTCACATGGAATACTGTTCCCATCTCTGGGCAGGGGCTCCCCAGTACCAGCTCCTTCCACTTGACCGCATCCAGCGCAGAGCGGCTCGAATCGTCGACGACCGAGCCCTTTCCGATCGGCTCGATTCATTGGCACTGCGAAGAGATGTTGCATCTCTTTGCATTTTCTTTCGCATCTACCATGGGGAGTGCTCTGAGGAATTGTTCGGATTAATCCCAGCCGCCAAATTTCATGAACGCACATCGCGGCTGAACTCCCGATACCATCCACACCATCTGGATGATTGGCGGTCCACCACTGTGCGATTTAGAAGATGTTTTCTTCCTCGCACGACTTCCTTGTGGAATCGATTACCATCAGCGATTTTTCCGGACCGATACGACTTAGGGACCTTCAAGAAAAGAGCTTACTCCTTTTTAAAAGGCCGGCAACGCATCTGCAATTCCCCTGGTGTTGCGGTTGTTCATGGGCGGCGGTAGTCACTTACCATCAGGTGAGCCGCATGCTCGTTTGCCCCCTCTCCTATAAAAAAAAAAAGTTATTGAGTACAATCTTGAGGTTATGATCTTTTTAGTAAATATATCTCAAGATGCGGTTTAGTTTTACGATATCAGCTGATTGCCACACTGATTAATAAACGAAACTCGACTCTCCAGTGTGTGTACTTGACTGCAAGTCACAGAACAGTATTCCTAAGTACAGCGTTTTGAGATACTGTTTTATGTGTTTATTAATTAGAAACGATTTTGAGATGCTGATATCGTAATGAGGGCGTATCAAATGATTAGGAACTTGAGTTCTTCGTTGAGTAACGTTTATTAGCTCAGAAAATATCAGAAATTAATAGCTTAGAAATGATCAAATATGCAGAAAATATTATTGCAAGTCCTATCCAACCTCATTATATCTTTCTCAGTATATAAAAGCTTTCATTAAATGATATTGGCCGACCGCGTCATCTGGTAGGTAATCCTATCGCTAATCCGATTGTGTGCAGATTAAAGCAAATCACCAGAAAAAAAGTAATTTTCTTAATATCATTACCACACTCACGGCATAATATGTGGTGGTGAATTCTCTTTCACCGTACTACATGGCGATTCCCCATTAACTCAAGTTAAGGTGCTTAAAAGGAAACTTATAACTAACTCATATAAAAATAAAGGTATTTTTAATCTGTGATTAATACAAAGTCCTCGCATTCATTTTGGCCTGCTCATGAACATAGACGTAATTTGTAATAGGAAACATTGCCGTATTGCGTTCAGCAGGCGGATTCAAAAAGTATTAGTAATATAATAATATACGGGAAGATGGATTGTTATGTCAGATGCATCTGCTATTCTGTTTATCTATTTTTTTAAGAATAAAAATACCAACAACTCTATTAATATTTCTTATTCTCCCGTTAACTACTTCAAGTAAGCTTAATATGCATGTGTTAGGAGTGGTTCACGACAATAGTCGAATGACAGGTTCACACCCCAACTTTACGAGTTTTCAATCCGCACCCATAACCATTAGGCTACTATTGCCCAATATAGATATTAAGATGGTGGTGTAACGTGGACTATGCTCATTTTTTTTCTCCAATGCCAACCAAACGGTTGATAAACGAAGCTAAGGCGATCGAACAATGGCAGAAAATTGTCAAAGAAACGCCAACTTCCTTACTAAGGGCTGTTACTGAGAATTTCTAGATAGAAGAACTCAATAATTGATTTTGGGATTCGAACCCGGAACCTCATCATCAGCAGTCTTGTTCACGACCACTGGACAAACCAGGCAGTTCAACACATAGGTGATATTTCACGTAATGTAGGTATCGTAGGTGTCTTTTGATGTAAATGTTACTTAAACTGTGTAAACTGAACGGTAGGTATGCCAGTTGATATATTTTTGGAAAATCTTAAATCGAGCTTAGCCATTCATTTTAAAATGTATTATAGCAGGTTCTGCATCCCTCGAGGGAGACCTATGCTCAGCAGTGGACTTGTAATAGGCAGTAATGTAGAATATAGGAATAATGATAATTATGATAGAAATCTTGCGACATAAAGGGTATTTAAGTGGTGGAGCCACGCTGCAGCTATTATAGGCTGCAACATGAATGGGTCGGCTAGACCGACGAAGGAAGGAAGGAAAGGAATGAGAGCGTGGCTCTCACAGAGCACCAGCGTATAATGCTGCTGTGTTTCGTATGGTAAGTGTAGAGAACCGGAGACCCCTTTTTACTGGAATAGAGTCATTCCATTTTAGTCCTCAGGGGTGACAACGCATCTGCTTTTTGATTCTTAATTGAAGATAAATGTAGATGTCTATGGGCCACATCATTCACTTATGGTAAACTGTGCGCTCGCACTTCACCCATATTCTATAAAAATAAATAAAGACATCACTTGTAATAAGCTGATTCATACCTCAGGTAAATTTTCTAACTTGCCAGCAGCTAAATCTTTATTAACGCTAAAATATATTTCCCATAACCACATGGCGTTGATGTAGAACGCATGGCTCGTCGCAATGGTGATGAACAGCTTATGTTGTTGAGTGATGTAGTCCAGGATTTGTGGCTCCGGCTCGCTGAAATAATACCGCTTTTGACCTGACTTTTCCAATGAGTAGCGAAGTCACTTCTGACTGAATTGATGTAGATGAATTTCTTAATTTGCTTACTATTAGATAATTTACGTAGTAGAGCCATGCTGCACTATATTAGTAGCATAGTTGTAGCACGAATGTGTCGGCTCGACCGGGGAAGGACCATGCTCTCACAGAATACCAGCTTGAAATGGCAACTTAACGCTGCTGTTTCGTATGGTGAGTGTAATGAAGGATAGATGTAGATGTCAATGGGCCCCAGCAACCACTTACCATCAGGTGGACTGTGTGCTCGTTTGTCACCCTTATCCTATAAAAAAAAATACTTTCTTCTAACGGTGTAGTGGCGGTGTAAGCATATCAACTATTCTACATCGTCCGGTGAGTATCGTAAGAGGTGACAGAGAGAAACTAAAACAGAAGATGCAGCATGTTCTTGATATACTCCTGCCTGTTGGTAAACCGCAGTAATCTATGGAGTACGTTATCTTCTGCGTGTGCTTCTTTTCACGGCAGGTTTCGGGCCTCGGGGAATCCCCCATTACCCGAATTCTCCTCACGGTCCAATTCTGTGGACCGGTCGTGAGAGCCGTTTACCATCGGCGTTGTTGGTAATCATGGCGAATTTCGCGCCCTAGGGAAGGGTTTACCTAGGGGTCGGTGACCTCGAAGCCTTATGGAGACGGATCTCGACGTAGTGCCGAGTATGTCTTACCGAAAGTGCGTGCACCCACTGAAAAGTGACGCACTGGGCCCTAGGAGCTCACTTCCTAGTGTAGCTTAAGTGCAGCGATGAGGTTGCGTTGCGTACCTTTCACACGTTGGGAGATCAGTCTGGAGGGAATGAGAGCGACCTCAAAGCCTAACGGAGCCGAATTTCAACGTATAGCCCAACACGTCGCTCCGACGCGATGCGTGAACCCACTGCTAAGTGACGCACCGTACCCCCAGGCGATCGTCGTTCTATCCCAAGTTCTAACCCACTTCCTTATCTATGGACACGGACTATATTAAGCTGTAGACTTTTATAGGCTGTAATGGAATAATGAAATACTTCCTTTTACCCATTAACCCGTAAAAGTCCACTGGTGGGCATTGGCCTCTCCCGTCTAGGTTAGGTTTGCTTAATCATCACGCTTGGCTTATGAAACTGTTCACTGGATATTTTACGTCTGGCGTAAACGATATGGTTAAATCTCCAACTATCGGAAACAATGAATTTCCGATAGTTGGAGGTTTTCGTTTTAGCATATCTCATAGTTGCCTCTTACCCACAGGGCAACACAGGATAATGGATTACCTTACGCCCTCACCACACGGTATTTTTTTACTACGAATTTATAGATTAATTTCGTCTTTGCAGTTTTATACCATGACTAGCTGTTCCCCGCGACTTCACCCGCGTTTAATTTAGGATTTTAATTTTTTTGCAAGGAACCCTAATTATTTTTCCATAATAAAAGTACATTATATTCCTTGTAATATCAGCTATCTGCCAGTGAAAGTCCCGTCAAAATCGGTCCAGCCGTTTTGGAGATTAGCCGGAACAAACAGACAGATAGACAAACAAAAATTTTAAAAATTGTGTTTTCTTTGTTATAAGTACCGTTTATACTTTCATATGTATTTAATAAAACGATATAATTTTGACATTACAAGCAAACACTTCATTGTTATTTATTTGCATGTATAGATTATCAATTACCTGCAGGTCTTCATGGACTGCAGTAGCCACTTACATTCAGTACTGAAAGATCGATGGTCACTTTAGATATATAAAAAAAAAAAATAGTTTGGTGGAACGATTCTAGATAAGAAATACCTTATTTCTGACTAACATCAAAATGATATGTGCTTACTTGGGTTTCGGCTGCGATTGTCTTCTAACAGCGCTGTATCTCACTACGATAGTTACAGCTCTTGCTAGGAGATTCGCCATATTGTTAACTATCAATACTCGAACATACACCATGGTGCCGTAGGTAAGTTTGCTGTTGGTTGCCGCAATGAATGTACCATCCTAGAATATTAGACATTTAAAAAAGAAACCGGTTAGAATCAAATTACAGCTGCAACTAGTATTATTAATATTTAATATAGGCCGTTAAAACGATTAACCGTGTATTCGCGGCGTAAGAAAATCCACTTCCCAATATCATACCGTAGGTTTTTTTTATAGAACAAGGATGACAAACGAGCACACAGTCCACCTCATGGTAAGTGGTTGCTGCGGCCCATAGACATCTATATCTATCTTCGTTTGCGAATGTAAATGCAGATGCGTTGTCAGCCGTGACGATTAAGATAGAATGCCTCTTTTCCAGTAAAATGGGTCTCCGGTTCTCTACACTCACCATACGAAACAAAGCGACATTAAGCTGCTATTTTACGCTGGTATTCTGTGAGAGCGTGGTCCTTCCCTGATCGAGCCGACCCATTCGTGCTACAACTATAATATTAATATAGCTGCAGCATGGCTCTACCACGTAAGTTTGAGGTGTCGTAAGAGGCGACAATAAAAAACTGCAGTTACTCCCATGGATGGTCATGAGGTAATATATGGGGGAGGCCTATATTTAGCAGTAGACTTGGTAATAGTAATGGTCGAAAAAACAATAAAAAATATCATCTTGTGGTAATGAAGAGCACAATAAAATAAAACATTCTCTACTTTTCTCTTGTTCTCTACTTAATCTCTTTTATATATAAAGTTAAATACGCTAAAAGAGAAATAGACTTTAGAACACATATTGGCCAAGAATGAAGAACACATATTGGCCATGAATGATCTGGTAAAATCATGTAAATATAATGTGGAGCGCTTTGACTCCTTAATAAAACATCAAAGTGAGTACCAGCGCTCCATACCAGGTTCGTCGGGCACAATATGTGTAAATAATAATGTAAACAGTAAGGACTCATTATTTTCATCTACACTCTATGACAGTGCCAAGAACAAAGGATATAAACTTAAAAAGCAATGTAAATATTAAAAAAAAAATAAAGTTATTATGTATTGTGATGACATAGGCAAAAATTTGGGCATGACGTTAAATAACTGTTTAAAAGGGCATCTGATCAGTAATTATTGCATGCCTGGAGCATCCTTTAGTCATGTAATGAATAAAATTTTAGATAGTAAATTTTGCCCTAATAGCACAATAATAATTCTTGTTGGGAGAAGAGGCAATTTAAATAAAAATCAATTATTAAAATATATTTATAATCTAAATACTTTAAATGCATGAATTCTTCGCGGTCATGTCTAGTGCCCAGGACATAGTGTCAAATCGCGAGGAGCGCGACGAGGCTGCCCAGCGTAGAATTTCACTTGGAAGTAACTGTAGTAATAACAACAATAATAACCTCTTAAATAATCAAATTCGATTACCAACTATAAAATTACCGAGTTTTGATGGAAATTATTTGAAATGGCTTGAATTTAGGGACACCTTCGACTCGCTCATCAATGCGAATGACACTATACCTGACATCAGCAAGTTCCACTACCTCAGGTCTTCTCTAGAGGGTGGTGCCACTGTCACAATAAAATCAATTGAGTTTACCAGTGAAAATTATCAGGTTGCCTGGGAACTTCTGTGTAACAGATATAATAACAAAAACGTACTGATTAATAACCACCTCAAATCGTTATTCAGCCTCGAATCTTTAAATAGGGAGTCGCATAGATCACTCTGGTACATTATAGATCATGTTTCAAAGAATTTCAGAGCTTTAAATACGCTCGGTGAGCACACTGATAAGTGGGATAGTCTTGTAATTTATATTATAGTGCAAAAGCTAGATAGTGTAACTAGCATTAAGTGGGAAGAGTACAAAGCGAACTTTGGTGTGTCTATAGAACTAGGAGACTTTTACCAATTTTTAAGACAACGTGCTGTTATTTTAGAGACCGTCCAAGGCGGCTCTAGAGCAGTTCAGGTTAATAGAAATGAAAAGTTTGTTAGTAGTAAGGAACCAAGACACATTAAAACTTTTTTCTCATCTACGCCAAATAGATCATGTTTTATGTGTTATGAGAATCATCGTGTGTATGAATGTGATCAATTTAAGAATTTGAGAATCGAAGCCAGAGAAGCAGAAGTTTCATCATCATTTCATTCATTTTTCATTTCATTTCATCTCATCACGCCGTGCTGCGAGAGAAAAGCGAGACCACAAAACTTCGGGTCGTTTTTAACGGCTCTGCTCGCACAGCATCAGGTAAATCGTTAAATGATATCCAGTACGTGAGCCCGGTAGTACAAAATGATTTGATGTCAATTTTGTTGCGATTCCGCCAGCATAAGTGTGTATTAACGGCGGACATTGAGAAAATGTTCCGTCAGGTCATGCTACGAGTACATACAGGGTTGGCCGCAGGAAAATAAAATAAGATACGATTGAAATTTATTAATGAATGATTTAAAATTTTAATGTAATAATGATTTAAACTTGATATTTAATTGTTATAATTATAATAATAGAATTAATTTAATATACATAAATAATTTAATTAAGAAATTTTTGACTAGAGATAGGTAAGACCTATCTAAATATAATTTAAGACAGATAGCAAATGTGCTATCTTATTGTTTATATATTAACTCAGCCAAGGACTTGGCTACACAGACATCTGCTTCTTTTGAGCAGAATTATGACTTAATATGTAATTTGGAATCAGTTCCAAGTAATTTAAATTAGAAAATGAGACAATAGAGGCAATCTCTAGCAGTTCTAATAATTTAAATAATTTAGAATGTAGCTTACAAATCTTTAATTGTATGACTCCACAGAGTGATAATGAAAATTGTTTACACCTGGTGCATCAAAATATACAAGGCATGATAGGCAAAGAGCTAGAAATTGAGTTGTACTTAAATAGCAACAATATTCATATTTTATGTATTACTGAACATTGGTTAAAAGCTTATAACTTAATGTTTAACTTCAGTAATCACCAGGTGGTCAGTTCTTTCAATAGAGAAACGGTTTTAAGAGGTGGCTCCTTAATATTAGCTAGTAAATTATTATCATGTAAAGAACGTAAAGATATTGTGAGTGAACTGTAGAAATGACATGTGTTGAGTTTGAGCACCTCATTGTTGTGAGCGTCTACAGACCCCCATGTTCTATATTCCATACTTTTGAAAATATTATGGAGGAAGTTTTTGCTAAGCTTAACAAACAGAATAAATCTGTTGTAATATGTGGAGACTTTAATATCAATCTCCTAGAAACTTCCTCCATCAATATTAAATTTAGATCATTGGTTAAATCATATGGTCTTTTTAATTTATTTTTAGAGCCAACCCGTATTGCTCAATCTAGTGCAACATGTATAGATAATATTTTTACAAACGTGAAGCCGTTGCATAAATGTATAATTCAAAAATTAAGTTTTGATCACTGTGGACAAGTAGTATCGTTACCATATGCTCACAAAAAGCAATTAGATCAGAAAGTTGTGTTTGTTCCAGTAAATGCACGTCGCTTGGAGAAGTTTAGAAGTAACATAGTGAAAAAACTTACATCACTTTCATACCTAAATGATCCAAATTTTTTGTATGGAACATTATTTAAGCTTATTTGCAATAAATTTAATAATACTTTTACTTCTAAAACATTCTCCTTGAACAGTCGGAAGTCATTCAATGAATGGGCAACAGAAGGAGTCCATAAGAGCAGACATAGGTTATATGATCTTTATCATGAAAGGTTATACAATCATAGCGTCGAATTTAGGAGGAGGGCCAGTCTTCGTGCCGGATGAAGTCGATTTTACGCGCCGCCAGCCAGTCTTTGTGCTCTTCGCTCTATGAGCTGGCGCCGAATCTTGTTGCAATACCCAGTGCCTGTTATTGAACATGGTATGAGAAACAGGTTCCACAAGGTTCGTCAGGACTGTATTTTGATACACAACTGCATTCGTTTTTACACCTTTCTCACAAAAATGTACCTCTGTTAAGCCCCAATAAGAAACTCCAAACCATACCATGATCGAGGATGGAAAATGACCTCGTTGGACACGCAGAATACAGTTGCTCGCTTTTTCACTACTGTGTGCGTACACCTTATCATTTTGTTTGTTGTAGCTCTCTTCTACTGTACGATAAACGAATCTTTTGGTTATATTCAAATTTTTCAGTATGTAAAAATTTGAATTGGCGCGTAACCGCAACGATGCAACGCAATAACTGCAACACGGTCTTCTTTAAGCGTCCACTCCATATTTAAAAATGAGTAAAATTCTAAAAAGTATACAGTTTTATTTTCATGAACAATTCGAAATTCGAATTCAATATAATTTTTTGTGGCCAGCATTCTAAAAGAAAAGTTTTTACTGTGTGACAATACTTATGACCTGACTAGGTATATGTTTAATGTATGGGAGAATTCACAGGATGATTTGGGTATATTTTGTGACCTATTCAAGGCCTTCGATTGTGTTCACCATGAAAAATTAATCAGGAAACTTCAACACTGCGGTGTAAGAAGTGATGCCCTTAAATTAATTATTTCATATTTAAGTAAGAGAACTCAAAAAGTTATCATTAACAGTATGAGCTCTTCCGGATCGATGGTACAAATGGGCGTGCCTCAAGGCTCAATTCTCAGCCCCTTTCTGTTTCTTGTATACATTAATGACTTAACTTACATAGTATTGGCCGTGTAGTGGCGGTTAAGAATATCCACTACCCCATATCTTCCCGTGGGTGTCGTAAAAGGCGACAAAAGGAAACAGGCAGGAGATGGGCAGCAGCATCTTTCTGGTAACGGCAAAAATACAATAAAAAACTGCGGTTGCCAACCCGCTCGCCAAGCGTGGCAACTATAGCAATATACCCCCCATGATGAAAGTTAGGAAGAGACGGCCCCCATTCCCCGGCGGCCCCGCTATTCCTGGCTACGGTGGCGACCATGGTAACGGCAGGGCAGGGGGTGCTATGAATCTCCGGTGGAGGTTCGGTTGCCACCTACGACGACTCGACCTGGCAACATACAACGCACGCACCCTGAGGACTGACGAGAAGATTGTGGAGCTGGAAGAAGAGATAGACAAGTTACGCTGGCATATTATAGGATTATCCGAAGTCCGAAGAGAGGGGGAGGACACGGTAATCCTCGAATACGGCAACTTGCTCTATTACCGGGAGGGCGACCATCTGTCCCAAGGAGGTGTCGGATTTATCGTCCACAAGTCTCTCGTTAACAACGTTGTAAAGATTGAGAGTGTGTCGACGAGGATTGCGTACCTTATACTCAGAATCACCAAACGGTATTCGCTGAAGGTCATATAGGTTTACGCACCAACTTCGGCACACCCCGATGAGGAGGTGGAGGAAATGTATGAGGATATATCTAGACCCATGCATTTCTCCAAAACCCAATATGCGGTGTTAATGGGAGACTTCAATGCAAAACTAGGCACAAGAGAGAACGGTGAGCTGAAAGTGGGGAAATTTGGAATAGGGCAACGGAACCCAAGGGGCCAGCAGCTGGCCGACTTCATGGAGAAAGAGGGACTCTTTATGATGAACTCTTTCTTCCAGAAGCGGCCCCACAGGAAGTGGACCTGGTCGAGTCCCGACGGTTCGACAAAAAATGAGATTGACTTCATTATGACGACCAGACGACAACTGTTCAATGATGTCTCAGTGATCGCGAGGGTGAAAACCGGCAGCGATCACCGAATGGTTAGAGGCACACTGAACCTAAACGTTAAGTTGGAGAGGTCTCGTCTAATGAAGTCAACGCTCCGTCCCCCTCGTGCTCTAATCCAAAGTCCCGAAACCTTTCAGCTCGAGTTACAAAACCGTTTTCAGTGCCTAGAAGACTGCAATGAAGTGGACGATTTGAATGACAAGCTCGTGGAAACTGTCCATGCGGTCGGAGCTAAGTTCTGCAAGACCCGCCGCAGAAGAACACAAAAACTCTCCGATCACACTCTTAATATCATGGCTGTTAGACGGGAGATGAAGCTACATTTTTCAACAGATTTAACAGCATACAAGCAACTGAACAGACAGATCTGCAAATGCATGCGGCGGGACTTACGCAACTTCAATACAGCTCGTATTGAAGAAGCGATCGAGCGGAACCAAGGCTCCAAAGTCTTTGCCAGAGATCTGTCTGCCAGAAAGAGCCAACTGTCAAAGCTGAAGAACGAATGTGGCAGCATCGTTTTCGGGGCACCTGAGATTTTGAGTGAGATTGAGAGGTTCTATGGGCAGCTGTACACGTCATCGTTGGAGCCGCACGCAAGTGTGAGTAACAATCCAAGAGCGAGTCTTATCCGACATTATTCCGATGATATCCCGGACGTCAGTCTTAGCGACATTAGAATGGCTCTCCAGCACCTTAAAAACGGCAAGGCCCCAGGCGAGGATGGAATTACAGCGGAGCTTCTGAAAGCGGGTGGAAAACCGGTACTTGAAGTCCTTCAGAAGCTCTTTAATTCCGTTCTCCATGGTGGCATTACACCGGAGGCGTGGAGCAGAAGTGCGGTGGTCTTGTTCTTCAAGAAAGGCGACAACGCTCTCTTGAAGAACTACAGACCGATTTCTCTTCTGAGCCGCGTCTACGTGCTGTTTTCGAGAGTCATTACGAATCGTCTCGCGCGCAGACTTGACGACTTCCAGCCTCCCGAACAAGCCGGTTTCCGAAAAGGCTTTAGCACCATAGACCACATACATACCCTTCGGCAAATTGTACAGAAGTCCGAGGAGTACGATTTGCCACTTTGTCTGGCGTATGTGGACTATGAGAAAGCCTTTGATTTCGTCGAAATTTGGGCGGTGCTGCAGTCCCTTCAGCGATGCCAAGTTGACTGTCGGTATATCGAAGTGTTGAAGTGCTTGTACAGTAGGGCTACGATGGCTATCGGAGTACAGAACCAGAGTACGAAACCTATCCAATTGCAGAGACGTGTAAGACAGGGTGACGTTATATCCCCGAAACTCTTTACTGCTGCATTGGAAGATGTTTTCAAGCTTCTGGACTGGAAAGTATACGGTATCAACATCAATGGCGAGTACATCACTCACCTTCGATTTGCCGACGATATAGTCCTTATGGCAGAATTGCTGAAGGACCTAAGCACTATGCTCAATGACCTCAATAGTGTATCCCAACGGATAGGTCTTAAGATGAACATGGACAAAACAAAGACCATGTTTAATGTCCATGTCACACCTATGCCGGTAGTTGTTGGGAACACTAAGCTCGAAGTTGTTGACGAGTATGTTTACCTGGGACAAATAGTCCGACTAGGTAAGTCCGACTTCGACCGAGAGGTCAATCGACGGATTCAACTCGGTTGGGCAGCGTTCGGGAAATTACGGCACATCTTCTCGTCAGGTATAACTTAAAACTTGAAAACGAGACTGTACACCCAGTGCGTGTTGCCAGGGATGACATACGGAACTGAGACGTGGTCCTTCACTGCTGGCCAGATGAGGAAGCTCAAGGTCGCTCAGCGAGCTATGGAGAGGGCTATGCTCGGAGTTTCTCTGCGTGATAAACTTAGGAATGAGGATATCCGCAGTAGAACTAGAGTGACCGACATAGCCCAACGGATTAGTAAGCTGAAGTGGCAATGGGCCGGCCATATAGCTCGAAGAACCGACAACCGATGGGGAAGAAAGGTTCTCGAGTGGCAGCCTCGTACCGGCAGGCGAAGTGTAGGGCGTCCCCCCACTAGATGGAGTGACGACCTGGTAAGATATGCAGGAAGTCGATGGATGCAGGTGGGTCAGGACCGTGCTTTGTGGAATTCTTTGGGGGAGGCCTGTGTTCAGCAGTGGACTTGTGAAGGGCTGTAATGATGATGATGATGATTACATAGTATAACCATGATATAGTATTATTTGCAGATGACACTTCTTTAATATTCAAGTTAAGTCGACAATTACTAAAATATGACGAAGTAAATAATGCTATATCTAAATTAGTAAATTGGTTAAAAAAAATTTTATAGGATAGGGTGACAAACGAGCACACAATCCACCTGATGGTAAGTGGTTGCTGTGGCCCATAGACATCAACATTTATCCTGGTTTGCGAATCAAAATGCAGATGCCTTGTCACCCGTGAGGACTAAGATGGAATGCCTCTTTTCCAGTAAAAAGGGTCTCCGGTTCTCTACACTCACCTTACGAAACACAGCAGCATTAAGCTGCTATTTTACGCTGGTATTCTGTGAGAGCGTGGTCCTTCCCCGGTCGAGCCGACTCATTAACGCTACAACTATACTACTAATATAGCTGCAGCATGGCTCTACCACGTACAAAATTCAATGTTAATATTTTGCATTTAAATGGCACTAAAACGAAATGTATGAAATTCATGACTCCAAATGTCAAACAATTAAATACTAATGTAATTTTAAATGGGGAGAAACTGAGTCTTTTGGTACCATCATTTTTCTTGGAATCACACTGGACGCGAAGCTTCAATGAAGCCCCCACATATCAAAACTAGCAAGCAGACTTAGTTCTGCAGCATATGCTGTAAAAAAGATTAGAAGTCTTACCAGTGTTGAAACAGCTAGACTAGTTTACTTTAGCTATTTCCATAGCATAAAGTCGTATGGTATTTTACTAAGGGGACACGCAGCTGACACTGAAATTATATTTGTTTTACAGAAGAGGGCCTTAAGAGCAATTTATGATTTAAAGCCTAAATAGTCACTGCGACAAAAATTTAAGGAAATTAATATATTAACTTTGGCGTCTCAATACATTTATGAAAATGTAATATACGTACACAAAAATAAAAGTAGTTTTACAAAAATAAGTGATATTCATTCTGTAAATACTAGGAACAGACACAAGCTAGTAGTATCAGTTACTCGTCTCCATCGAGTCAGTAATTGATTCTTGGGGCGATGTATTCGCTTTTACAACAAAATTCCAGAAAATATACAATATTTGAACTGGTCGAAGTTAAAATCTTTATTAAACTAAGTTTGTATAAAAAGGGTTATTATAATATTAAATAATTTATGGATGATAATAACCCCTGGAAATCAGGTGATCGCTACCAAGCTATTTCTAATTTGTTTTGTTGTTAATTTGTGTAACATACATGATTGAAAGCTGTTATTTTAAAAAAAGTCCAGCTGGGTTTCTTGGTTCTTCCCAGGACAGAGGTTTTTTTCGAACCAGTAGTAATTAAAGAAAAGAGTGACTTTTAATATGTATTATTTATAATTTATATTGAATAATAGTTTCTCTTTCTGTTTCTGTAGGTATACCTATACTCTATTATCGAAACTTTTGGATAGATTTTGGATAGACTTTGGTAGAGCCATACTGCAGCTATATTGATAGTATATTTGTAGTACGTTTGGGTCGGCTCGACCGGGGAAGGACCACGCTCTCACAGAATACCAGCGTAAAATAGCACTTTAACGCTGCTGTGTTTCGTATGGTGAGTGTAGAGAACCGGAGACCTTTTTTACTTCAAAACAGGCATTCCATCTTAGTCCCCACGTGTAACAACGCATTTTGATTCTTTACTGAGGATAGATGAAGTTATATATGGGTCACAGAAACCACTTACCATCAAGTGGACTGTGTGCTCGTTTGTCACCCTATCCTATAAAAAAATTCAAATGAGTGACAATCATCAACAAATGAGGGATAATCGTATCATTATAAATAGTATTGCACAAATTTTAACTAATATATTCACTTTATGAGTTACAATCGATTTTTAATTAACCTCACGAAACCAAAACGCACCCTTATATATTTTATTAAATATTGATAGTTAAGTATTTTAAAGGGCCTTCATGGCTTTCATTTAACTAAGGTCAAATTTAGTTTGAAATTTAAATTGGTTTTACTCTCATCTAACCAATGTAAACTTAAAGTAATAAAAAACAAATGTTGACGTTAAAAGGGGATATCAAATCTAGCGCTTACTTTTAAAACTTGAGCATTCTTCATTAGCATTCTATCTCTAGGTATCCTATGATTTTCAAAGCCAAGAAACCCATTATTAACGTTGTTAAATCCAAGTTTAGCGCCAATCTCTCCTAACTTAATTCCAGGTAAAGGCATATGGGTTTTTTCATCTCGAATTTGCACCATGAATGGCTGAATTCCGTAGCTCTTTCCTCTTATGAAAAGACGTGCCATAACTACGCAGTAATTGGAAGTGTGGGCCACTGTGAACAATAAAGTATTTCATAAAAACAAGATATTCTTATTTTTTGTTAAAAAAATTAAGAATTTATAGGTAATATTGTTGACAGATCGAATTGCACATAGGTGGCGCCTTAGAAACTTTTAAATACAGTTTCAACACATACATCATAAATTATAGAACATACCTAAGATTGGGAGAATAAATGCAAAAATGTTTAATTGATGTAATTTTAAGATAAATTTGCTTGCGACATACATTGTTATTTTATTTGTGCAACGTGATCTTGCCTCATATTTATTTTATCACTAGAACTCATAAACCTAACATTTATATATTATTTCGTTCTTAGCATATGACTTACAGCCTCCGGGCCACCACTTGTAAGAAGAAAGTGTTGGACTATGTAAGATAAACTCCTCAGTCTCGAGATCATACGTGGCTCGTGTTTCCAGGCCTCGTATAAAAGTGCCATGTCCAAGTTCAGTCTGTAAAAATAACATAGCCGTATTAAGGAAAATGAAGTTAAAAAAGAATATTTAGCTATTGATTAATCCCCCATCAAGATGTTCCAAATAAGTGATGTCAGAGGTATATTTAACGGACTCAAAATTCTAGTAATAGATATAATATAGAATCTTCAATCTGTATAATCTGTGACACACATATACATTTGTTTTCGAAAGTTTGAATGTTATTTATTTTTATACTCATCGTAATATTTAACGTTTAGGTGGTAGAGCCATGCTGCAGCTATATTAGTAGTATAGTTGTAGCACGAAAGGGTCGGCTCGACTGGAGATGGACCACGCTCTCACAGAATACCAGCGTAAATTAGCAGTTTAACGCTGCTGTGTTTCGTATAGTGAGAACCGGGTCTCCGGTTTTGACTGGAAAAGAGGCATTCCATCTTAGTCCTAACGGGCGACAACGCATCTGCAGTTTGATTCTTTATTGAGGATAGATGTAGATGTCTATGGGTCACAGCAACCACTTACATCAGGTGGGCTGTGTGCTCGTTTATCACCCTATCCTATAAAAAAAATCGATTGTCTGTAAAGTCGGTTTATTGACGATAGTTGAACGTGACAACGTCATAAGAAAATGTTGCTATAAACAATTGACACCACATTCACTTTTCACTGCACTTCATACTTGACGAAAACATGTAAATGTATTATTGTATAGCAGCTTTCCATGCGGACGCATCGCTCACTCAAGTAAGAGAGGGACAGATGTCGAACGCTGCCGAACGCGGAGGCCGATTGTGCCTCTTTGTCGCTCGTTCCGCGCTCTCGCTTGCACTTCAAACCTTAAATGGAACGCCTCAGAGCGAGGTAACGCCGCATGAGTCATGTTATTTCGTGCGTGCAGCCAGCTTCATCGAATTATAAGACGTTGTCACGTCAAAAACTAAATATCAGTCATGTTAACCGACTAATATTTTATTAAAACTCTAAGGTTAGGCCGGTAGCCAGAGATTATAAAAGGAGAAGTGAAATGTAAGGCTAATTATTACCTGCGCATAAGTACCAATGATTTCCATATTATTGGCTCTTTTTAACCAATATGCCTTCTGTTCCTCAGTAGCCTGTCCCATTATGGTTGGCGTAAACATTGAAAAATGCAATGTAAAAGGAGTACCGTCTCTGAACACCGCCGAGGAAATCATGTTTCGAAAGTTGGCCCTGTGAAATCAAAAACTAAAGATACGATACTAAACTTTAGATGCTTTTAGAACATACTTCTGTATAATTTCTACAAAATATCTATTATTTATTCTGTGTTAATAGATAGTTAAGTCGCTGTTAAGACATGTTATTGCAGAATTAAAGCCATGACTTCACATACTATTTATATAGAAATTATTTTATTATTTTCAGTTTTTCAGATCGGTTTATACTTCTTTTTTTGAAGTTATACTTCTTTTGGGGCGTTTGGGAAAAATTATGCGAGTAAATTTTTTACGATGCACGCGCACACCAACAGCTAAAAACGACACCATTAAGTTGTTACGATGTGCGCGGACACTGACACCTCAAAACGACAACTTCATTGGGTATCTGTCTCTCAAGTTTTCGTGGGAACTGATAACTATATTTAAGGTAGTTATTTTTAGTTATTTTTGTTTTGTAACGCTAAAGAAGTACAACTTCCTACGTGCCTACAAAAGTACACACACGTTTTTTTTCAAGTTTAATGTTTTTAACCCTTTTGAGTAAGGACGTATAAGAAATATTACAATGTTATCGTTACTTAGAGTTTCGTCTAAAATAAAAATAAAAATCTCTACAATAAAAATCTTCACCCCTATTTTTCCACCCTTCCACCCTAAGGGATGGATTTTTCTTCAAATTTATATGGCCATATGTAAATTTGAAGAAAAAATCCGCCTCACTCTAATTTATTTCATAAATCAGAATCATTGGTAAAGAAGTTATGCCTGATTAATACTATATAATGTACTATTATTTATTCTGTGCCAATACTGAATAATTGAATATGACTGAATAGACTTTAAAGAGGAGCAGTTTCTCTATTCATCTGATTTTTTTGTATGTTCAGCGATAATTTTTCACAATGGTGTTCGTTCCCATAATTATTTTCCCATAAGTATGTTCAAAGAACGTTTTCTATGCAAATAACTAAATTTGAAGTGTCTGTTTGTAATGTCAAAATACAAGCTTTTTACTAAATGCATATGAAAGTAGGTATATACGTGCTTACAACAAAACAATTTTTAAAATTTTTGTATGTTTGTCTATCTGTTTGTTCGACGAAACGACTGGACCGATTTCGACGGGACTTTCATTGACAAATAGCTGTTGTTATAAGGAGTGACTTAGGCTACTTATATTTTAGAAAAATTAGGGTTCCGTGCAACATAATTAAAACCCTAAATTACACGCGGGCGAAGTCGCGGGGAACAGCTAGTGTAGGGTAAGTCTTTTAATTTTCATTTAATGTGATAACTTTATCGCCATCCCGTATAAATTATTATTGATGATAATTGTCTTTATTTTAAATTTATTAACTAATCAGGTAATCACTAAGTATATTAATAAAAATATAAATTTGAGATAAATCAAGTATAAACACATCAGATCCTGCAATTTACAATTATTAGGCCTAAATACAGATGTTGATCAACCATTTCCAGGGAGTTACAGTTGCATTTAGTGATTTGCTGATGCAGACATATGTGTTCATGTGCAATGATAGTGGGTTGTGTATCATATTTTATGTAGATTGAGTGTATATGCATTAGTTTAGTTTTTTAAGCATTGATTACCATCTCAACGTGACCATTTGCACATCTGACCATAGTTATGTTGCATCAATTCTTGTGTTTTAAATAGGTTGTTATGTCCGGCTATTAATCTTGTGTCGTCTGCAAATTGGTGAATGGAGCTATCTTTAAATATATTACACATATCATTCAACCAAGTATAACAAGTAACAACGGACCAATAATGAAGCTGGGCTGTACCCTGACTAGTAGACATTTTATTACTATATTCACCTGCGACCTTTACTACTGTATGACGGTTTGCTCTTATTATTAACTTATTATGCTCATTATCAAGGAAACACACGTATTGTGACGGTCAACTACGGAACCCTACCTCTACATTCTGCGTGGTCCGACACGCACTTGGCCAGTTTTTTTTTTAATTATCAAATCCATTTATCACTTGTTTTTCAAATGTAACCTTCTGAAGATGCAGATGTGGTTTTTTCATTTTAAATAAATAAAGGTAAGTATAATGATGGCTCCGTGGCTTAGTGGCTTAATAGAACAAGTATTTGTATGGTCGACAAATAATTTTTCCGGGTCTGGATTTTTGTCCTTGTGAAATTTATGTATCCCCACAATACAGGAGAAAATCCTAGTATGAAAGTAACGTTTTTATCCAAAACATTTTCATACCTTGTTTTCTCTTCGTCAGAAATGTTTGAATTGTCCACTTTTTGAAGGGTCCTATATAATAGTACCGCTTTTCGCACTGCATTTTCATATTTTTCCTTGTGACTAAGATATTCTTCTGGTATATCGTCCAACAGACCTTTCACGCTTAAAACTTTTTGTTCTGAAATGGAAAGATAATGTAATCTGCAAGTGTAATCTTCTATACATAAATAAAATTGTCGTGTCAGTGTGTAATTGACGAAGTTTCACGTTTCAGTTACATTTTTTATGTTGTAAATATATTATTTATTGATGTGTATAAAGTTTAAAAAAAATATCTGTCTCCTTTTTATACGAATAATATAATTCTTTACATTATCAGATAATTATGTCCCAACGGGATATCTTCTTGTCTGCTGTTATAGGTTTCGTGGTACAAATTAATTACATATTAATTCATTAACAAAAGAGATTTTAAAAAGTAAGGTAAAAGAAATCGCGAGTTTTAGTCACGATTCGTTTGAAATTGCCATGATTGATTTAATTAAAAAGATTAGTATTACCAATCAAAAGTTAGAATTTCTTTTAAAATAGGATATGTGTGACAAACGAGCACACAGTCAACCTGATTGTAAGTGGATGCTGAGGCCCATAGACATCACCATTTATCCTTGATTAAGATTCAAAATGCAGATGTGATCCCTGAGGACTAAGATGGAATGCCTCGTTTCCAGTAGAAATGAGATCCTTGACCGGTTTTCTAACTCACCATACGAAACAGCAGCATTAAGCTGCTATTTTACGCTGGTATTCTGTGAGAGCGTGGTTCTTCCCAGGTCAAACCGACCCATTGGTGCTACAACCATAATATAGCTGCCGCGTGGCTCTACCACGTGTAATATATGTTGAAGCGCCTGTCAAATTATATTAGCAGTTCTCATGCCAATATTAGTCCGTAAGCTGTGTAGGTATGTTTAAAAAATGTTGTACCTGTCGTCGTTGTAAAATTTAGAGATCAAGTAAAGGTCGATTGAGCAAATTACTGCATTTTATTATTAAAAAGAGATCAAAATTCCTATTCATGGTCCTTCGAGCCGGATTTGAAAAAACGTAATTGGACAAGATATTATTTAGTGGAATACGCTTGGGAAGTCTTAAATATTCGTTGTGGAAATACCACCGAGGGAGTGAAGATATTTAACCAAGAAATCTGGAGTCTTAGCCCCTTAGATATTGGACTATTATTTAATTTATTTAACCCAGCACTCATTATCAGGTAGTATTTTGTGTAAATCGACTGCTAATTTATCAGGTTAGTACCAAATTACCTATAAAATAATTACGTATAACTTAAAGTATTTAATCGGCTAAAATTCATTTAATATTGTTTTATATAGTTTCTAATAACCGTCAAATCATGATTAAATCAAATTATAAAGCTTAGTTAAATTATATTGACGATATCATAATTTTTTTTTTCTCTTTATTGGTTTAAACTGTTTTTTAAAAAATAAGTCAAGAGAGTGTATAATTGAAAAAATTGCATAATATTATTTATTACATACTAAGGCATACCTGTGAAGCTGTTTGATGGTCTGAATTGTATTTGTTACCCTTAATTGTTGTTAATTATAAAGTTAAATATCAAGGTAGTACATGTACCATTTTGTTTAATTATTTAAGAGTTTGAAAAATAAGTAAGGGAATTAGTTTTCATTTCTTTACAACTGTAAGCAAAATTGTATAAAACTACTTATGAATTATATTTTATAAAATATAAACTTCTTGTTTGTATAAATTTCAGGCATTTGCACTAGTCTCCCAATACCAGCCAACATGCCAGAGGATAAGGAGCAAATTAGGAAACGAGCTAGTTACAAGGGACAAATAACAGCTTTTTCAAATTATTTAAATTCACTGAAGGTATCTTCATTGGCTGCTACTGAGGTAAATGAGTTGCAATTACGTATTGGTAGGATTGAGTCAATGTATGAACGATATGATGAGGTACAATTATCCATCGAGTGTAATACTGATAATATAGACGCCCAGATATCAGAACGAACTGATTTTGAATCCCTGTATTTTAAATCGCTTTCTCTTGCAAAAAGGATCTTAGCAGATTGCATTAAGTCAGATGACGTAAGCAGTGACGGTGGCGCTCATTCCGGCAATCACAAATTTGTTAAACTGCCCACTATTCAACTACCTAAATTTAATGGTTCTTATGATAATTGGTTAGAGTTTCATGACACGTTCATGAGCCTCATACATTCAAATGACGAGATAGATGACATAAATAAGTTTCACTATCTGAGAGCGTCGTTGGAAGGGCCCGCTGCTGTGGTAATACAGTCAATCGAATTCTCGGCAGCTAATTACACCGTCGCATGGACTATATTATGTGATAGATATGATAATCATCATCATCATCATCATTACAGCCCTTCACAAGTCCACTGCTGAACATAGGCCTCCCCCAAAGAATGCCACAAAGCACGGTCCCGAGCCACCTGCATCCATCGACTTCCTGCAAATCTTACCAGGTCGTCACTCCATCTAGTGGGGGGACGCCCTACACTTCGCCTGCCGGTACGAGGCTGCCACTCGAGAACCTTTCTTCCCCATCGGTTGTCGGTTCTTCGAGCTATATGGCCGGCCCATTGCCACTTCAGCTTACTAATCCGTTGGGCTATGTCGGTCACTCTGGTTCTACTGCGGATATCCTCATTTCTGAGTTTATCACGCAGAGAAACTCCGAGCATAGCCCTCTCCATAGCTCGCTGAGCGACCTTGAGCTTCCTCATCCGGCCAGCAGTGAAGGACCACGTCTCAGTTCCGTATGTCATCACTGGCAACACGCACTGGGTGTACAGTCTCGTTTTCAAGTTTTGAGGTATACCTGACGAGAAGATGTGCCGTAATTTCCCGAACGCTGCCCAACCGAGTTGAATCCGTCGATTGACCTCTCGGTCGAAGTTGGACTTACCTAGTCGGACTATTTGTCCCAGGTAAACATACTCGTCAACAACTTCGAGCTTAGTGTTCCCAACAACTACCGGCATAGGTGTGACATGGACATTAAACATGATCTTTGTTTTGTCCATGTTCATCTTAAGACCTATCCGTTGGGAAACACTATTGAGGTCATTGAGCATAGTGCTTAGGTCCTCCAGCGATTCTGCCATAAGGACTATATCGTCGGCAAATCGAAGGTGAGTGATGTACTCGCCATTGATGTTGATACCGTATCCTTTCCAGTCCAGAAGCTTGAAAACATCTTCCAATGCAGCGGTGAAGAGTTTCGGGGATATGACGTCACCCTGTCTTACACCTCTCTGCAATTGGATAGGTTTCGTACTCTGGTTCTGTACTCGGATAGCCATCGTAGCCCTACTGTACAAGCACTTCAACACTTCGATATACCGACAGTCAACTTGGCATCGCTGAAGGGACTGCAGCACCGCCCAAATTTCGACGGAATCAAAGGCTTTCTCATAGTCCACATACGCCAGACATAGTGGCAAATTGTACTCCTCGGACTTCTGTACAATTTGCCGAAGGGTATGTATGTGGTCTAAGGTGCTAAAGCCTTTTCGGAAACCGGCTTGTTCGGGAGGCTGGAAGTCGTCAAGTCTGCGCGCGAGACGATTCGTAATGACTCTCGAAAACAGCACGTAGACGCGGCTCAGAAGGGAAATCGGTCTGTAGTTCTTCAAGAGAGCGTTGTCGCCTTTCTTGAAGAACAAGACCACCGCACTTCTGCTCCACGCCTCCGGTGTAATGCCACCATGGAGGACGGAATTAAAGAGCTTCTGAAGGACTTCAAGTACCGGTTTTCCACCCGCTTTCAGAAGCTCCGCTGTAATTCCATCCTGGCCTGGGGCCTTGCCGTTTTTAAGGTGCTGGAGAGCCATTCTAATCTCGCTCAGACTGACGTCCGGGATATCATCGGAATAATGTCGGATAAGACTCGCTCTTGGATCGTTACTCACACTTGCGTGTGGCTCCAACGATGACGTGTACAGCTGCCCATAGAACCTCTCAATCTCACTCAAAATCTCAGGTGCCCCGGAAACGATGCTGCCACATTCGGTCTTCAGCTTTGACAGTTGGCTCTTTCTGGCAGACAGATCTCTGGCAAAGACTTTGGAGCCTTGGTTCCGCTCGATCGCTTCTTCAATACGAGCTGTATTGAAGTTGCGTAAGTCCCGCCGCATGCATTTGGAGATCTGTCTGTTCAGTTGCCTGTATGCTGTCAAATCTGTTGAAGAATGTAGCTTCATCTCCCGTCTAACAGCCATGAGATTAAGAGTGTGATCGGAGAGTTTTTGTGTTCTTCTGCGGCGGGTCTTGCAGAACTTAGCTCCGACCGCATGGACAGTTTCCACGAGCTTGTCATTCAAATCGTCCACTTCATTGCAGTCTTCTAGGCACTGAAAACGGTTTTGCAACTCGAGCTGAAAGGTTTCGGGACTTTGGATTAGAGCACGAGGGGGACGGAGCGTTGACTTCATTAGACGAGACCTCTCCAACTTAACGTTTAGGTTCAGTGTGCCTCTAACCATTCGGTGATCGCTGCCGGTTTTCACCCTCGCGATCACTGAGACATCACTGAACAGTTGTCGTCTGGTCGTCATAATGAAGTCAATCTCATTTTTTGTCGAACCGTCGGGGCTCGACCAGGTCCACTTCCTGTGGGGCCGCTTCTGGAAGAAAGAGTTCATCATAAAGAGTCCCTCTTTCTCCATGAAGTCGGCCAACTGCTGGCCCCTTGGGTTCCGTTGCCCTATTCCAAATTTCCCCACTTTCAGCTCACCGTTCTCTCTTGTGCCTAGTTTTGCATTGAAGTCTCCCATTAACACCGTATATTGGGTTTTGGAGGAATGCATGGCTCTAGAGATATCCTCATACATTTCCTCCACCTCCTGATCGGGGTGTGCCGAGGTTGGTGCGTAAACCTGTATGACCTTCAGCGAATACCGTTTGGTGATTCTGAGTATAAGGTACGCAACCCTCGTCGACACACTCTCAATCTTTACAACGTTGTTAACGAGAGACTTGTGGACGATAAATCCGACACCTCCTTGGGACAGATGGTCGCCCTCCCGGTGATAGAGCAAGTTGCCGGATTCAAGGATTACCGTGTCCTCCCCCTCTCTTCGGACTTCGGATAATCCT